CCCGTTGTGCCACTGGAGGGGCTTGCTACTAAGGAATCTCACTTTGCTTTCTACATAGCAAGCTTTATTATCAGATCGACGGTGTTACTATGGGTTCTAGATTGGCACCCTCGCTGGACAATTTATCTTTATATTATTATAAAAAACAAATTTTAAAAATTGTCCACAACAGTTTCACCACTCCACTATCGTAAGTATTTGAATGAAACATTTACGATATTCATGAACTCTCCTCAAGCTTCCCAATTTCTTCAATATTTGAACAGTTATATAAAGTTCACTGTGGAACCTCAGCAAGATATTAAACTTTAATTTCTTTACACTTTAATTAGTTATAACAATGGTTACTTCCGATGTTAAGTGTGCCACAAAAACATTTAATGGCTTATACTCTAATTTTTCACGTTTTATTCCAAGTATTTTAGAATAAAATTTTGTTAAAATATTGTTCTATTGTGCATATAAAAGATTTAGCATGTATGAGGATTTGCATAAAGAAGTTAATGATATAAAAAATTCTTAGGTGAACAAGATTTTCTTATTCATGTGATAAACAGAATACTTCGTAATTATCTGACTAAAGTGCAAATGAAAGATAATTCATGTTACGGTAACAGTTTCAAAGTTCACGTGAGGAAATATAACTGTTTAGAAATAGTTGAATAATTATTTGATTTATAACTAAAGTTTCAAAGTCCACGTGGGGAAATATAATTGTTTTGAAATAGTTGAAGAATAATTACTTGTTTTATAACTAATGTTTCAAAGTCCACGTGGGGAAATATAATTGTTTTGAAATAGTTGAAGAATAATTACTTGTTTTATAACTAATGTTTCAAAGTCCACGTGAGAAAATATAATTGTTTTTGAAAGAGTTGAAGAATAATTATTTGTTTTATAACTAAAGTTTCAAAGTCCACGTGGGGAAATATAATTGTTTTGAAATAGTTGAAGAATAATCACTTGTTTTCTAACTAATGTTTCAAAGCCCACGTGAGGAAATATAATTGTTTTGAAATAGTTGAAGAATAATTATTTGATTTATAACTAAAGATTCTTTTACGATTATGACTGTTAACTTTAACTTGTGAACGAGTTTATCAATACTATCTGGAAACAACTAACTCTGTTACCACACAAGTACATAATTTATGATTAAATCTCACGCATATTACATGTTTATGTAATCTAAGTAGATATCATAAATTGGAATTGAATTGATCTTTCATTTTGAAAATTATTCTCAGCCGACTGACACAGTCTGAACTTCTGACCATCTGCTGTATGTCGGCCACAGTATGCAATAACTGTACGCTAACTGAACAGCTTATTTGGGTTGTAAACATGATGGATGTATAAAATGTGAAATATAAGATACATATATATATATATATTTGTCTTTTATCCTAAGAAGCTTGAAAGATACGAAGATATAATTTCTTGTTTGTCTGTTCGTTTTGTAGAAACGGAAGCAAATTTGATTTCTCAATCAGAGCATCGTTCTAAACACTATATCAGTTATTAATGTCACATAAATTATTAAGATATTTAACTTTAGATGCGACATTTCCTGCCGAACTCGAGTATTGACCAACATGTGAATAACGAACACGGGTCAAAGCACTGGTCACCCTTTGGCGTCTCTTCTTAGAAAGGTCCTTTGTTCTGGATACATACACTGAGTGGTCACAAGTAAATAGACACCTAATTTTTCGTCATTTAACTGATTTATGCTAACTAATTTGTGTTCACAGAGCACTATACAAATGCAAATGTTCCGCACACTAATTATCTTGTGCTACAACATGCCTAGAACTCAAGGTTCTCTCGAATTGTCAGATTTTCTTAAAGGAAGGATAGTTGGTCAGGCAGATGGTGGAATAAGTCAGCGGCAAATTTCGCAGAATTTG